GATGGTGCCATGGCTCCAGAGGTCAGATCTAGCTGAGTAGGGCTGAGAGCATCCTAAAATCCTGAGCTCTGGGAAGCTTCACCTGTGCTTATTAAAAATTACACAAGGCTTCAAGGATCCATGCAACAGCCTCCGGCTAACTTGGCTCCAGCCTCACTGGATAATGAGGACCTGCCTGATGGATGGGTGGCTCGGGGACACCACTCCATACAGCCTCGCCATGCATGAAATCTACTGCCACCTTGATCTTGGACACACACACACACACTCAGGGCTGTAACAAGTAATTCCTGCTGCTCACTGGCTGCCCATTTATGGTATCTGTCACAATGGCCAGAGATTAAAATACCAGGCCTGCCAGGGTCCACTGAGCCTCTGCAGAGCCCAGTTGAGGGTGCCTGTCACCTTCAGGATGAGAACCCCAACAGTCCTCTGCCTTCCTGCCCTTCCTTCGTTTCCCAGGCTGTGGATGACCCCATAGGAGGAACTCAAATGAGAAAGGAGACGTTCCCACCCGGAAGACACTCCGTGTGACACAGGCTTCATCTACAGAGCTGCCATTTATTCTTCTGTCACAGGAAATGCACCCTCCCCTTCCCAGTAATCATAAAAGAGAAGTTTTAGCTTCATAATTTCAGGTGAATTGACTGTAGCTGTATTAATCATCAAATTCTCAGGGCAAATCTATTCTGTAGTGATAAATCTCAGAAAAAACAAAGGTAGGAGGATGCATGTATCATTTCTGATTTCCATACTCTTCCTGGCTTAACCTAAGACTTTTATGTCTCTATTAACATTTTTATCTAGATTTGTGGAAACAGATGAAAAAATATCTAGCGTGGCACAAAAGTATAACTGAAATAAAAGCTCTAGGCAAAACCATAAACAGGAATAATCAGCCACAAAATACCTCTCCAGCTGGATAAAATAGTTAAAGTTTTGGCTGAAATATCAATTCTGAATACAATTTCAGCCCAGTAGTTAGCGGATCATTCAGGAATGGATATTTTAGTGTCCTACTTTTCAAATTACAGTGTGGAACGTTTGGCAGGAAAGGGCAGTAGGAAGAAGTGAAAAGCCATCGCAGGAGAAATGTAACATATCCAGCAGGATCTGGGGAGGAAAAGGGAGGAGGAGCCTTAGACTGGCTGACACCGACTGTGGTTTCAGGGGCTGCAGTGGCTCTGATCTTAACATCTCAAGACAGCAAGGAATAGGTGGATGAGGTAAACTTAGAAAAAATGAATCTAGCAGGACATGGGAGTGCACACCTGTAATCCCAGCACTCAGGAGGCTGAAACAGGAGGATCACTGCAAATTTGAAACCAGCCTGGACTACAAAGTGAACCCAAGACCAGCCTGAACTGCTTAGGCAGAACCTGTCTCAAAAAAACAGAACAAAAAAGTTTCTCACCACACAGAGACTGGGAGGAATCTGTGTTCAGGAGAGGGGAAGGAACTCAGAGAGACACTTTCTAACTTCTGGGCTCTGGACAAACCTGCACCGGAAGGAGCCACCATCTTTGTCTTCTGGACCCTCTGATGCTCAGACGTCCTGGAAAGATGGGCTCCAGAGTGAGCCTGCCAGAGCTGATCATGAGACACAAATGATAATTACAGGGGCCGCATTTTCTCTTCAGCAGCAACAGATGTCAGAAGAGAACAGAGCGACATCACTCAATAATGGGAAACAATCTTAGAGTTTCACACCCTCAAAAGTGAAGGCAAAAAAAAAAAAACATTGTCAGATAAATGTAACAGATATAATGGACTCTAGAGATTCTGAAATATAATCATAAAACAACTGAAACTTCCTAAAACTTTGTTTTTCCTCTCTGCTTTTTCTTTAAAGCCGCTAGTCGACCAGTCCTACTCAGCACCATGAAGTTTCTGGGCACAGTTGGAATAAAAAATGCAAGAAGTCCAGCCTAGTGGAGCACACCTGTAATCCCACCACCATGGGAGGCTGAGGCAGGAGGGTTGCAAGTTTGAGCCAGCCTGGGAAACTTGGATCTTAGGGAGACCCTGTAACCAAAAAAACTAAACAGAAGTTTTCTTCAATTTTAAGACCAAAATCACAACACAAAAGACAAGTTCCACATTTTAAGCAACAAAATGTAACCTTTGATGAAGTTGAGGTGCTCTCCTCCCCCCAAGTCGGGCTGTCCTTGCAGTCCGGAAGGAGGTGCCAGCACTGCCGCTCCTGCCCCCTGCTGCCTGTCTCCTCCTCACTAATAAGGGTTTCTGATCCTCCAGGTCAAGAGGCAGAAAGACAGGAAGGGAAGAAGGCCCCAGTGACTCCATTTCCGGAGCTCCCCAGGACTCTGGAGAAGCTGCCCTGTCCTCTACCTCGAATCTTTCTCCTGCGATTCCTGGGTGAGCGTGCTCACCTCCCAGCTGACCTTGAACTGCACCCTGTGAACTGGGAACCAAAATAAACCTCTCCTCCTGTAAGCTGCAGGAGTCCAGTATCATGTTCCACTTACAAGGAAGAAACGAATACAGACCCACAGGACCGAGGCCGTGTGTCATTAACAGAAGTGGATTGCTCTGTAAATGGTGCTACAGAAGTTATTTCTCCATGAAGAAAAATAGAAGTCATTCCTATGTCTCCTACAATAACAAATTTCAAGTAGATTAAAAATCCAACTACAAAAAGCAGTACTTTAAAGTTGTTAGAAGAAAGTATGGGTAAATACTACCTTGAGGTAGAAAGAAAATCTTAAGTTGAACAAAAAAATTGACAAATCATAAAGAAATTGATTGATTCAGTAAATTTCCACATAACAAAATGTGTCATTAAAGTGGGAAAGGAAAAAAATCATAGACTGGGATAAATATCAAATCAAATGATCAAGTCTCAGGATATACAAAAAATCCCTATAGACAATATGAAAAACACAATAGAAATATGTCCAGGTCCCAGGAAGCCCTGAAAACTAAGAAACTCACCCATGTTCATGAAAATTAAAATTTTCCAACTGAAACCCCAATGAAATGCCACCTTACACTCCACAGAGTGGCAAACAATGTGCTTCTGTCACTATGGATAGAGGTGTGAATTGCTGACCTCATTAGAGAGCGACTGACAAACGACTGTTAAAAATTGATAAAAATTACCTCCCACTCCCCCTCCATGCCACTCCTGGGTGTGTACCCAGAGAACTCTCGATGTGTGCCCAGAAATTTTAAACAGGGATATTCTGTACAGCTTTGTCAGAAACAGGGAAAAGAAAACATCACACGTTTTATCAACAGGAGGATAGATTTCTTTCAGTGTGGCTCTTTTGTGTCATAAAATACTACAAGATAGATACAGTGCGTAAACTACCAATGTAAGTGTCAATACGATAACTCCCAACACGCAGTGTTGACAGTGAGACAAGCTGCACAGTGACACTGCAGGGTTTCATTCATTTAAATTTTAAAAATGTACAACATCGCATATTAATTTACAGGTTATCAGGCAAGCATTAAAACGTGAGTAAGCAGGGAAAGGAAAGAGAAACAGCATCAGTGCGGGTGCAGACCACATCCTGCAGCTCTACTACCGCGGTTCCTTTTCCAAAGACAGGGAAGAAAACGTGGGCGAAGAGTAGGTGACACCGCTGCCTGCGGCATTCGGGGGAACCGAGTTCCAGGAATGGGAGCGGGCGGTGTGGTGGGTGGACAGCGGGTGGTCAACTTGTAGCACCCAGCTGAACTGAGTCAGCAGGGTGCTGGGTGTGCAGGGCCACCTGGGGATCGTTGATAACAGCAGAACAGTCGGGGAGCATGGGGGGCTGGGGAGTCTCCAGAAGAGTGTGTCAGGCTGGCTTTCCTCAGAGGAACTCAGCTGTTCTCATCATGGGAGGAGCTCAGGACTTTGATGCTGGGAGTGGCTGCAGTTCAACTTGAGGGAGCTCTGGTTCTTCCTCTGAGCATCACTTCCTGGCTCCGGAGGGGAAGACGGTGCCCTGTTGAATCTCCTGGAGAAGTTTGTGGCACTAGCTGATACGAACTCAGGGGGTCTCTGGTCCCTACTTAAAGTGTCGTTTCCTGACTCCAATGCAGATCCTTTATACCACAGGCACACTTTCTAGCTTCCACCGCTGACCTTGGGGCCTTCCCAGCACAGACCCATGAAACAGACTTGCATGAGTCATTGTCACGGGCTCTAGGTCTTCAAGGGGATTCATGCAGGACACTGACGTGGGATCCCAGCCCTCAGCTGGATTCTTTGGGTCTCTAGTGTGTGGACAGATTTCCTGTTCTCTTCTGTATTTTACTTTTTCAGTAACTATTATGAAATAATCCAATAAATTATGTACGCTGTATTAAATTGTTTCCCTTGCAAAGCCCGACTATAACAGGCAGTGAGAGCTAGTGTTTAATGGGACCAGTGTCAGCTTTACAGGGTAAAAGGTCTGGAGGGGGATGGTAGTTATGCAGGCACAAGAATACCAGTGTACTTAAGGGTGCCAACTCCAACTTGTACACTTAAAGATGGTAAAAACAGGCCAGTGCAATGGCACACACCTGGGATCCCAGCAGCTACTGGGGAGGCTGAGGCAGGAGGTCACAAGTTCAAAGTCATCCTGGCCAACTTAAGAAGATACTGTCTCACAATCAAGTTAAATTTTAAAAAGGGCTTGAGTGTTTGCATAACAGAGGCAAGACCTTGAGCTCTAGTATCAAAAAAGAAAGAAAGAAATTAAAAATGGTTAAAATTTTTTGTTATGAATATTTTGACACAATGAAAATTAATTAATATACAATATAATCTATGATATCAGAGCACACAAGTTTTGAAAGGAGGAGGCAGAGAGAGCAGTCACACATGACACAGAGGAGAAAGTTCTAGGTGTTATAGCTCGGACTCCAGAATAAAACCCAAGGAAGCAAGAAATTAAAATTTGGGGAGCAAAAGCTTTATTTTAGGCCAGGCCTGGTGACACAGCCTCCGGTAGCCAATTTGGAGACTGCACGCCCCAGAGACTGAAGAAGGGGATTTTAAAAGCAGAAGAGGGGGAAAAAAATTAAAAACCTGCAGAGCTGTTAAGCTGTTGACTCGTCTGGAAACTGTAAAGCTGTCCACTTAGTGCTGATAACATCAGGCGCCTTTGGTGCCTTTCAAGTTACTCCCATTCTGCAGATAAGCATTATCTCGGAAGAGCACATCTGCAATAACATTCGGAGAGGAAGGTAGAAAGTTAATTATTTTGGGACAGCTTGTTAGCAATAACATGTGAGAAGGGATCGAAAGTTACAAGAAGCTGAAACTTAAGTTTTTGCAAGGATTTGAAACTTAACCCTTTCAGTGCTTACACAACAAGAGGAGGCACATTGGTTAGGGTTAAGCCATAACATTCTTCCTATAGTTTCTTTGAAGTTAAGATTTCTTAAGAACAGCACAATTAGCACATTTTATAACAGGCACTTTTTATGACAGACCACCACCAGGTAGGGAAGGGGGTTACCAGAAACTAAAACCTAAGGTCTTTATGGCTTTTCAGGAAATTGAAACTTACCTAGATAGATAGGGAGGGGAAGAGGGAAGGGGAGGCAGTACGGTGCATTACAGAACAGAAATACAACGAGATTACTTTTTTTGGGGGGGGGGAGAACAAGGTCAGGTAAGGGTTGGGCTAACAAGCCAGTCTCCCTGCATACAAGCAAGTTACCCTTTAAACAAGTTTAAATTAGGAAAACATCCTGGTTTCCTCAGCAGAGAATAGAGAAGTCAAACAGTAATTAACAACCCCTGTTAGCTTATTTTAGCACCACATCTGTTATTTGTAGAGGGCAACAATGGTTAACATATCAATTAGGTAAGATTTTACAATTCTTTACAGAAGAGAGCATTGATTAACATATCAATTAGGTCTCCCAGAGGGAGAAGGAAAACATATATGGTATGGCCATGTTATAGGTAATTTGCTATAATACAAATATAATGAAGCTATTTTTCTTAGAGTACAACACTGGGCACAGATCCACCTGGGGACCCGCCCCACTGACAGCCAGTACTCATCCGCATAATTTGCAGGACACAGAGCAAAGTGAAAACACAGGCTCCTATTCCAACACTGATAGCCCCGTAAGCAGGGAAAAGGCATTCAGGGCACTTCCTGCTTCAGTGTGGTTTTTCCTGATTTCCTTTAGTTTTGAATCTTCGAGTCATTAAATGCAAACTAATTCTACTAGAATATTTTCCTTAATAATGCATTATTTGGGGATTTTTATTTTTATTCATGTCGGTTTGCAATACATAATAACTACATTCATTTTGGGGACTGGTACCTATACATAGGACATCGTAATCATGTGTATCCTCCCACCCTTCTCTCTCCCTCCTTCCCCCAGTCCCCTTTCCAATCTCCAAAACATCTCTCTCCCAATTTCCTACCTTGTCTCTGAAAGGTTTGGCCCAGACAGGACACTGTAGCCAGGAAAGCCACAACCGGAAGCAGGAAGCCCCATCTTGCCCTGCCCCTAGGATGTTACCTGTGACGCCATCTTCCCGCCCCTGGGAATTTACATATGGCGCCAAACCTAGGACCAATGGGCTACCTGTGTATCCCTAATGCCCGCCTTAGGTTCCACCCCAAACCGAGGTTATTTACAGGCCCCCACGCCGCGTGTCCGCCGGAGAGATCGCCGGACGCCAGCGGTGGGGTGCCGGTCATCTCTCTCCGTGTTCTCAGAATAAAGGCCGCTTTTTATTTTATATTTCTCATCTTTTGTTAATATTTTTCATCTTTTGGAAATAACTCTATCATTTGTTGCCCTGACTCGATCGGCAGGCAACTAACTCTTGGGCCACATACCCAGAGTTTCCTCGCCGATAACCAGATAACATCCTGGATTAATCCCGAGCTTTTTCCTCTCCCGAGACGTTCCTGTCGCCAGCCGCCTGCACTCCGCATCGGCCAGACTGATTTCAGGTGAGCACTCCCCGGGAAACTTTTCGCACTGGGCAGCCCCAGTGGAATGTTCTCCCCGTCTGCGTGGGTCTGTGCATTTTCACGTCCTTAGGACCGCCCAGGGCAGGGTTCTTTCTGGGCAAACCTGCGCCCACAAAATCTCTCACGTTCTTTGGGTTCGGATAGCCCAAAGCAGAGATTTTTGGGACCGCCCACACTGAAAGACCCTCACTTCCCTTAAAGCCTTGCGCTTTCACGGGCAAAATTGTTACTGATCCCACGTAGACTCCATTCTTAAATCTCTCAGTGACGACTGGAGTTTACGGTTTGAAACCATAGCCGCCGCGTGGTACCACAAATAAGTGATGACTTTTTCTGGACCTCCGGTTCTTTTTCTTGCCTGAATCAGTCATGGGAAACGTATTTTCTAACTCCCAAAAGACGCCTTTAAAATGCCTAATTTCCAATTTACGTACTCTAAAAATTAAAGGTACCATAAAAACTAAACAACTAACTTTTTACTGCCAGGAGGTCTGGCCAACCTACCCGCTTATCGGCAAGCCTTGGCCCAAAAAAGGAACATTTGACCCCTGCATTCTCAGGAACTTGTACGATTTTTGTCAAGCTGGTAACAAGTTATTAGAACTCCCTTATGTCCAAGCCTTTCTTATTCTGAGAACACGCCCATCTCTCATTAAGTCTTGTGCTCCCGCTGAGATACTTTTAGCTAAGTCTACTGCGCCGCAAACTTTTCCTTCCTGCCATCCGTTTTCCCGGCCACCGCCTGCCTACCACCAAACTCATTCCCTGCTTTTATCTCCCGCCGGACTGCTCTCTCCTCCCCCTATGCCTGATTCTCTCAGCAGCTCTAATCCCTCTCCGTTGCAGATACCTCCCGCTGTGCGATCATCTCCCTCTCCACCTTCCAGGACCCATAACTCTCCCAGCAGCTCTGCTCCTTCTGTTAGCGCTTCCCCGCAGTCTCTGACTTCTCCTGAGAATTCTCTATCCCCTACAGCATTCTCACCGCCTGCCCACCATACTAGGTCTCGGTCGCTATGTCCTTCCAGCAGGTCGCGTGATTGTTTCAGCTTGCGCGGGGAACAGTCGCCATGTTGCAGCCCTCTGCCACGTGGCATGGCGCCGCCATGTTCCGGAGGGCCACATGGCGACAGGGCGCCGCCATGTTCCCAGGCGCCGCCATGTTTTGGGTCACGTGACAGGGCGCCGCCATGTTTCCAGGGCCTTCACTGTCAACAGGCATCTCCTTGTGGCTCCTCTTGTGAACTACAACAGCCGCCCTGTTGCAGTGCACATGACACTTCATTGTGCTGCCGACAGCAGTCCTCTAGCTGCAAGGCACACAGTGAGATGCCATCTGCCTATGTTTCCCAGGGTGACCGGCAGCAGCTCTGTAGCCGCTCTACAGATGATTGCTCACATGCGCCTACCGGAAGGATGGCTGCTCAAGGGCCCTCTGCTCCAGAATCTCCTCAGGCTCTGCTACCGCTTCGGGAGCAAGCTGGCCCCAAGGAGCTTGTTAACATCCATGTGCCTTTTTCCCTTTCTGATCTATCTCAGATTACCCTTAAATTAGGTAGCTTTTCTGTTGACCCACAGAATTATATCAGGCAATTTAAATTCATTACTAATTGTTATGATTTACATTTTAAGGACATTTATAATGACTCTGGGCCTATAGCTGTGCCAGAGCAGGACAAGCATACTAACTATAACAAACTTTTAAAACAGGTCCAGAAGGCTAATCAAAACCCAGCTGTGTTCCTTTCTAATCCTCGCGCCCTGCAAGCAGTTCCAGCTTTGCTCGCTGTGTCAGGCCGCCTCCCAGCCCCTCCCCCATGCGCCGTCCCAGCCCCTCCCTCCCCTGTGTGTCGCCGTCGCCGCCGCTGCCACCTTACACGTTTCCGGGGGCAGTCCGAGCCCGCCCCTGCGCGCTACATCCCAGCGCTTGCCCCACCCACTGGGCGTGCTCTGCCGGAGTGCCGTGAAACAGCAGCTCAGCGGCTCTGCTCAGGCATGCTTTTTTATTACAATTTGGCTCCGCTCAAAAGATGCTTTTTTATTACAATTCTCAAACCATTTAATCAAGGTTATTGGCCACCTGATAATTTTACCAGCCTTGTTTATCAATCAAAGCCTTCACCAATCTCCTGTTTAACAACTAAGGTTATAAATTCCTTTTTGCTGGGAACCACTAGCTCTATTTCAAGACAAGGGTTTTCTTTAAAGTTTTATTTTATTTGTCTTGGTTCATACTACTGCAAATAACAACTTTAAAAGTAAATGTGTTCAGAATTTGACAGTATTAGATCAGTTTTGATTGATTTATTCATAAGATTGCTAAACCTTTACTGCAAAATGTTTCCATTAAAGCCTTGTTTGGTAGACTAAAGCTTTGTTAATTCTACGTGTCACCCTAAAAAAAAAAGCGATATGCCATCCAGATAAAGCCTGCTCTCTAATCTAAAATGCCAATATTAAATTCCTACATACTTACTTAATTCTACTATAGTCCAAATCCCAAACAAAAAGGCAAAACTTGACCTTCAAACCTTATAGAGATCTTAATATGGTTTTTTATATTTTTAACACTTGTGACACTTGGAGTTCTGAGACAGGTAAACCTACACAAGGTGGAGCTGCCTGCCCCCTCCATGGACCACGCTCAAATGCAGCAGAAGATACTGTGCAAGAAAATGCCCCATCCTGGCATTCTTTGAGACCTTACTCCAGGGCTACTGGACTGTCCTAGCCACCAGAGAGTGGGTAAGCCATCCTAAGTTCTAGCCCTCATAGGAAATGTCGACACTGCCAGATTCGTCACCGACAGAAAACCCGCTGCTGAAGACTGAGAAGACTCAGGGCCAGCAGCCCCCTTTGTGGGTGTCCGTCTCGGATTCCAAGTCGCACTAAAGTCTCAGGTAAGACATTCTCTATATTTGTGGACATAGAGGCCATATATACAGAGTTCTTCCTGAGTATTCAGGCTACTATATTAAGTCCTCAATCTCTATCATGGGGTATTGATGGTCAACCTATGCCATTTATAAATAAAAACAGGGCCTATTTTGTGTAGGTCCCAGTCCTAAATCTTAAAATGCCTTTTATACAGGCTGACTTAGACACACTGAGGCCTCAACAGCTTCCACCTGTTGTTGCTGGTGGACCCTTCCTCAGTGATATAGACCACCCCCTTCCTTTCTTGTTCACCAATTTGTCAGACAACCCTGGTCA